TGTACAAAGCAATGGAGGGCGTCGGACGGCAGAGACCACTACAGATCCGCTTCGCGTTTATCTAGCTGCACTTCCTGTCTATCTATTTTCACTAAGCGCTTGTGTAGCTCCAAATTTCACTCCGGACCTTTCGCGTTAGCTCTAGCGAATTGCATTTTAAGCTCGGAATAAATAACCAAAACTTCGATCGTTTCGCGTCTACCTATCTCTATTCTGCGTCTAGCAATCTTCGCATGAATCGGAGCAATTGTTAAAGTCTTGAAAGCCTCCTTATTGAGAAGTAGAAGACAACTCGATCGCTGGGCCACTATGTTTATTTGCCTGACGTTTCGATATCCGTCGCGGATTCATCTTCAGAAAAACACTCACAGAACAGTAGCAGAAAAGCTGCCAGAACTTAACATACCAGAGCCGGCGTAGATGTCCGAGGATTTGGCTTCTCCTTGACCAGATTTAATTGTTTCTTCTTCTTTGGAAATTTTTTTCCAAATGTTCTTGTCCCCATGTTTGGCAATCCGTGCAACGATGCAGATCTTGAGTACGGCCAATCTGGCCAACGTACTCTGTACCTTGTTCAGCACTATCGATCCGGCAGTTCCGCATCTGTGTTGAAGTACTGTCAAGTACTTAAACACACTTGTAATGTCCGTGCCCGTTAAATGCTTTTATTAATCAACTCCCAGGTTTTACGCGTAACGTGCGTATTTTTGGTCCCGTAACGAGCCCTGCTGTAGCAGGGATCTAATGGAAAAGCACTGATCATACCTACGTTGCACTACAGCAGTGGAAACTTCCTATTCAATGACAATCATCTATGGGGGTTAAGAAATACTTATTCGACCTAGGTCGCTCACTGACACTAGAATAAACCATTTTATGCAATTCTTCATCGAATTCGCCTTTGATGCAGCATCTTTCACAACCATAATACGCATTAATATTTTTCAATTGTTTACTGAATGCTATTGCTGGAGCATCACAGATAACTGCAGCCAACTGAAACTGCAGTGTTCTGTCGACCTTATCAATATATACACTTGAGTGACTTAATGTTTCCAAATCTTCCGCTAAGAGCGCACAGAAAGCCTGCACGTCCGATGGCTTGCCTATTCCACAATAAATTCCTACAGCAAAAACTGCACTAACAAAAGGGCGCATAACCTTACCTAAAAAGGCCAAAATTCACGTTTAGTCTTCCTATGAATTGGCAATCTATCAATTGCCAAAATAACAAGTACCTCACCAAATAGAACTTGCAGTGAAAGGTTACTTAATTTGCTTATTACCTGTCTTAACAACCCCAAATGAACATATTCACCACTGCGCATTGTCGTCCCCGGTGCGGAGCCGCTAGTCCCACCTAGAAGCGTTCGAGCGTCTAGGGGCAGGTCGAGCAGTAACGGCTTGGGAATTTTCAGCAGGCTGCTCAAATGAGTGTGTGGGATTCACGGGAGAATTCTCCACTTGCGCAGCGATTGACGATAGGTCAGCTGGACCTCTGCTGTCTGCGTTGACGTAGATGGTGTGCATGTGGCGTTTGGTGATTCAGCCACCGAGGACGACAATTCCTCATAATCTGACGAGGAATCAGTATCAGAACAATAATCTTCTGACGACGAAGCCGGCTCTGCAGACGACGACGTTTCTAACTACGACGGATACCTTTCCCTCCTACCTGCGTGAACTTTTCTGAAAAATTCTTCTAAGCGCTGTTGAACACGACGTCTATAAATGCGTTTTGATAAAAAATAGGGCATTCTAAAAAAAACCAGAAAAAACAATATTAGGATGCGCAAGGAGAAAAATGGTTAGCAATTGCAGCTGACGGGGAGACCGTTCGCTACCTTGCGCGCGGCGGCTTGACTGGGGCGG